TATTTAAAGTAACATATATTGTATTTATAAAAAGTCTACGAAAAAGGATTTTTCGAGAACTCAATGATTTTCGGAGGGGTTTTCTGGAAATTCTTTGAACAAAAGATGACTCTTCAATTTTTTCTCATCCCATAATCATGTTTAGCGGATAAAATTAGGTTTTGCTTAGTTTTAAGTACTGAGAATTGAGTAGTTACTTTATAGAAAACATTTTGAGTTATTTACTCATGAACGAAAAACAATATATTTATATTTATTTATTTTATATTTTCTGGTTATGAAGCAGTTTCCCGAAGATCCTCTAGATAACCGTTTTTAAAAAAAGTTCATTGCTTGCTCTCCGTCGCAAAGTACGTCTGAAAACCTGGAGCGTGAAAAAAGTTTATCATTCTCACCGTTTTCATTCTTCCAACTGGAATAGAATCGAAGGCTTTTATATATCAGGAACGATAGTGGTGAATTTGTATTTTACGTGACATGGAAAAGAACGACACTTTTGTGGCCATGCCTGTCCATGGAAGTCTCTTCTTATCACAGGAGAAATGATGCCATTGGTCAAACAATGGACGAAAAACTCGCTAATCCACCTCGTTAAATCACAGACATATACGCTCCCGAAAATGTTTTCCATGATATCGATCCTTCTTGCATCTCTTAGCCCAGTGATTGCGTGATTTGTGGATAATTCGATTATTTCTCTAGTACAAATACATATCTACTTAGGGAGATCTCATAACACAACCAAAACATTTAAAACGGGAAGTGGTGAAATCACGAAACATTAAGGGTAAACATTGTTACACGAAGAGTTAAGTGAATAAATTAAAGGTGTGAAATGCTCTTAGTTATCGTATTGTTACTTTTCAGATAAAAATCAACATGAGTGGCATAAGTGGTCGTGTGGCTATTCTTCTTCTGATTGGTGTTATGATTATGAGTATAAAATCGTAAGTAGAAGTACGTGAGGCGATGTTTAAACATGAATTAATCATTTCTGTTGTTTCAAGAGTACATTCGGACGACATCTCCTATGGTACCAATTTATTGATCAATGGTGATAGTAAAGTAGTTGATTTAACAGCATTGTCAACGGTTGGTGTATTTTATTTTGAAAGTCATGTTCATAATGTTCAGTAGCGGTGTGTCTAGGAGTAGAGAGTAATCAAGCAAGAAATAATTATCATTTGCACATAACGACTTCTTCGAATTGAAGTTTTCTTCTGTTTTTATTTCTAGGATATTGATAACTCATACGTAATGTTTGAATTATCGGCATGGTAAACGTTGGTGATATAATCAAAAGAAACGAAAACAAAATATTTTGTCATTTCTCTAGGCTCGGTGGTTTAGCAGAACAAAACGATACTGCGTCTATTAGCTTGGTATTGCTCGATTCAAATAATGGACGATTGCTAAGCAGTGCCATAAGTAAATATTTAAAAATAAATCGAGAAGCTTTAAATGTTCACGTACACCGGTAACTGAGAACAAAAATAATTGTTTCTCCACTTCACCCCTTCAGTTCATTAGCGTCATTAAATCGTTGAACAATAAAGCGAGTATTGCAAATCTCGGTGAAAGGTTCAACGCAAGATGGTGACACCGCATGCCTCTTCGGAGAATGAATTTGTTCAAAATGTTCTTTCTCTCTTAAAATAATAATTTCTCTTCTTTTCTTCTTAAAACTTAGAACCGGTCTACAGCACACATAGAAGTGATACATTTTTATCTTCATTCTAGAATTCTATCTAGAATGCCTTTGGAAAAAAGCTGAACATTCGGTTTTTCTACACTAATCACCTGAATAAAAAAACATTTCAATTTTCCCTGTTGACGACAAGCGTGTATGATTTACGTCGTTACGCGTTCTTTGGATGCCTTTTATGACTGGTCCCACCAGTCAAGATATTCTAACTAGCTCAGTTTGTAGAGAATTTCACGGGCTATCTGATTGTGTATAATTGGAAACGTGTGTCCCTTTTTGGCAAGATTTTCTGGTTAATGACCTTTCGACATTCAATATCGTCCTGTATACTATATGTAAAATAAGTCTAAATACTTTTCCTTTGTAACATAAGCTGAATCTATAGGCTGCATTTTGTTCAGAATTCAACACTCTATAAAACTACATGTGTCTCGGTCAGTAAATGTGTGTTTTTCGAGAGACAGGCTCCGTCAAGATCCTTCTTAGGGTTTCTTGTCCCCAAAAAGCTTTTTTGTGTTTTGACCAGATGTATAATACTCCGTCCGACTCAATTTTTGTTCGTAGATTACGAATATGGCGTTAAAACTGGTTGATAAGTAAATCAGACCAGAAAAAACCAAGTTTAAGTCCAAAATATACTCTATTGTGGTATACTGTTTTTCAGTAAAGATTTTTTTCCCATAGACGCAGATGAATTTCAGACCTCGATATCAACGTGGCAGATAGAGCTCATACTCATACAGTTTTTGACCAAATTACAATTTGGTTCTGCATATCATTTGGGTTTCACAGTTATTTTACTGCGCACATGTGATATGGGTATGATCGATTTTGTTTCATAAATGAGTCATTTTTCCTAGAAGAACTAGCACCTATTTCCTATTACCGAACTAGTCTGTACAGTTTTCATAGCTTTAGAAGAATATGGGTAAGACAACATCTCATTGTACTACATTACCGAATCTCGACTCTTCCTCTTACATCAATACCGATTAAAGACCAAGGACATTGTGACACCCATATCTCGGTAATCAGAAGGTATTAACCCAAAACCAATACAGATATAGATCCGTCGCGAGAAGCTCTACAAAATCTGATATCTTTCTGCTTCAACATAATTTTGAAAACCGGCAGGGTCCTTTATAACGTTATAATGTGTTAATAGCTTGTAACGCATTGTAACGCAATAAATACATATCCTTGAAACATCTGAAGAAACTTCTATAGTCTTACAACGAGTTAGAACATGCACAACGCGTTACAGACTAATGCTTTATAATGCAATAGGAATAGTAACGCCTTGTAACTATTACCGCGTTAATCGAATTTATAGCATTATAACATTATAAGAATTTGAGAAAGTCGTTGACGAAAATGCATTGTAACACTATAATTTTAATTTTTTTGAACCTTAACGCGTTACGCTGATGCATTAAAGACATGTTTTTTCTAAATTTATTGCGTTGTAACACAATAAAAAAACTTACACATTACAGGGCATTACGATATGCCTAACGCATTATAATGCAATAAATACGAAAAAGAGATGTTGTGAGAAACAAATACAAATATTATAATATTGATCAGACATGCTAACCATGATGATATCATTGGTTCTCGAACACTACAAAGTGTGCTAAACTGAGCAGTTTAGCTCTTTATATTGTAGAAAACTAGAAATCATATTAGAGAGAAGAGGTAACCGCTTCCCAGTCCAGATACGAGATTAGATGTTTAAAAGCAGAACAAAGATGATATTTATTGATGTAAAAGAGAACATTATTTTATTGATACCATTTTGTTTCTGTTAACTTCAATCGAACATACTACACCATATAAACAAAAAAAACGAGAACTAGTCTTACATTAAATGGAAAAGTTCAATCAGTTTTCTGTTTGAAGATGGTATTTTATATAATAGAAGGGATAGTGTGAATAAAAAAACAGTTCAATGAATATCATTTACTATTATTATCCTTGTGAAAGCACAAAACTAATTTGGTCTGCATAACCATCGACGTATGGACCAACCTGTTGAAACGAAACTACTTTCAAAACCACATAAACTGTGCCTAAAGGTACGCGTCCCGTCACACTGCTGAACTGCAATGACGTGATATTAAGTCGGGCAGCTGCGTCGGGACCTTGTACATAATTGAAATCAGTAGTGTAATCAACATTATCGCTTGCATCAACAAACATTATCATGAGTATTGACATATCCCCTTCAGTGCCATATCCGCCAAGCTAACCAGAGAAATTATATGACAATGTTTGATTAATGATATATGGTGACAAGGAAGGTATACAAATCATCTGAGTCATTGATGCTAGAGTAGATCCTTGGGTACCATAAAGATAACGTTGACCACGATCGTCTGGTCCCGGTGATGTGTTAGTTAAACCAAGATTACTTCCTACATAAAAGAAAACATATCCGAATCTTTCTTTCGATAGTCGCTAACAGACGCAGTCT